AATAAGGATGGTTTTTTGAGCAGAAAAAGTTTGGAAATACCATTGTCTTTTGGAATTATTGATCGCAGAGTAGAAATCTTTGCGTAGGAAGTCTTTATCGATCTCATAAACCTTTTCTATCTTGTAGAGCTGATGAATCTGATGATCGGGATCTTCAAACTAAGAATCGTTTGGGGATGGAGGAGAATCATGATGATCTTTGTTTAGAGGTGGATTTTGCAGACCTTTGTTTTGAGAACCAGTTTGGGTAGGTTAAGGCGTGCGGCGAAGAGGAGGGATGTATTCTTCTTCAGTTTGTATGCTAACATTGTCCTGGTAAACTAGGTTAGCAACTTCTTTGTTTTTGACACCGACGAGGTTTGGATACCTTGTAGGTGTTGCTGAAAATGATTTTCGGGAAGGGGCTTTTGAATAGTTTGTGTGAGAAGCATGAGAAAAAGAGGATCTAGGTCTTTCTATTTCTTGGATAGAAAGTCTATTGGGCCTGTTAGAATTAAATCTAACCTTTACCGTGCCATCCGAAAATTTAGATATTTGTTCCAACCTTTTATTCTCGATCTTTGAAATAGGAGCTGCATGCTCGAGAGTCCATTCTTCCGGAAAAGTGACTTCATTCCAAGTGATGGTTTTTGGAACATAGGTTTATGAATTTTCGTCACTAGCATGAAGAAGAAGGGTTTCTCCTTTGGGAGACTCACGAAGAACATGAGGGCTGACTTGGGTAGTATAGACTTTGTAGTGGATTCTATAGACAACATTGAAGGGTATGGCTCCATCCATCATTTTATAACCACTACTTGAGACATTGAGGGTTAAAGTATGGAGGATTGTTGGATCATCAAGAGCTACTGAATAATTTGGAAAACAATTGAAGTATTATGGGCCATCAAAAAGACTAGTTTGGCAAACTCTTAACAAAGAGGTTTCAAAATCGAGATGCCTACAATCTCTAAGAGTAAGCATGATAGCAGTGTTAAGTCCCTTTTAGGTAAGAGGTTTAACGGCAATTTAGACAAGCCCTTTATGTAGGAATTTGTACTTCTTTTTGTGTTCTACTATGGCTCTTTTTTGCAAAAGTTGGATGACTTCAAAAGGGTTTTTGAGAGAAATAGTTTGCTCAACAGTTTTGATGGAGTATCCTATTTTGAGGTTGAAAGTCGAAGATTTGTTAATATCCCTAATGGGAACCTTGGGTATATTCCAAGTATCCCATTGATCATTCTAACCATTATCAATATGCTGTTATTCTTGGTTAACTATCATTCTTCCTCCAAGAGGAGCTGACGATGCCGAAGACATGCTACGGTTGAATAAACTGATTGAACCTTACCTAAATGACCGTCCTTCCGACCAACCCAAAGCGGCACACCTAGCCTAATTTTGCCTGATTTTGGGCTTGGTTTTAATTTACTTGGCTAATGGGCCTATTGTTCTAGTCTGTGTTTGAATGTTTATACCAAAATTTCAAGTACTATATGTTTGTTTTTTTCAGGTAAATGAGAAGCAGTCTTGGAAAGCAATTAGCTACTGTGGACCTGACCCAGACTTCAAAACCAGATGTAATTTACCAAAAGCCCAACAACAAGAAAATGATGTAACTAAAGAAGAGCTCTTTACAAATGCCTCATCAACCTGAACTACCGAAGACAAATAGTCTTCAAAACTCTGAAACAATCCCCATGGGAAGAAAGTAAAATCAAATTATTTACTCAACCCTTCTTTCATTATCAAATGTGATGCCATTGTAGTGGGTTCTGGCTCCGGTGGAGGTGTCATTGCCGGATTTCTAGCCAAAGCTGGCTACAAAGTGATTGTCTTAGAAAAAGGACAATGCATGGCCAGAAGCAATCTCTCACTTTCTTGAAGGACAAACTATGGACCAAATGTACCTAGGCAATGGGTTACTAGCAACCGATGATATGGGTGTTGTGGTACTTGCAGGATCCACAATCAATTGCTAAAACTTGTACATGATGTTTGATTTGTTTTGATGTCAATAGCCTACTTGACTGAAAGCCATTTCCATATATCATGCTTCTTTTTTTAGGGACCAAAAGAAGGTGATCTACATTTTCTTGAATTCAAAGCCTGGAATGGAATTGAACCATTGGAGTCTATTTGATTCAAGTAAACTTAAATGTTATGTTTAGGAACACCGAATCGGTACTTTGGATTTGAAATTAGAGGAAGTTTTGTTTAAAATTTGTATTAAATTTTTTCTAATCCCAAATTCAAGGCGCTGAATCAGTGCTGCCAAATATAACAAAAGTATAGTCATATTTTCATAAGAGAAGGGTCTAAGCTGAGGGATGATCAAGGATTCTCTAATATTTTACTTTTTATTACTGACGTCACACAATATTGTTCACTAATGTACTAGCGGAAATCAGTGGATCCTGGTTGGGACATGTGAAAGGACACAAGCAACATGATAATCTATGAGCTAGGATCTTGATACAACTTATGTCATCAATTGTTAGAATTGAACAACCCTTTTCCCTAATCATCGATTTGTTATGCAAGACCTGCCAAGCCTAATTTTGGCTAGGGGCTATGTTGTATCTAAAATTCACAATTGCAATATCGATCATGGTAACGACTACAAGAGACTCAGATCAATATTGATATTACGTAACAATATTGGTTATTGCATAATATTATTGAGTAAAACTCATTTATGGATACTATGAGACCTATAAACTTGTCGATAGCCATTAGTGTCTTTAACGGTAGAAGGCATCCTAACATCACAGGTAGTCCCCTCTAGGAAGCTTCCTTTTGATTACATGCAATTTTTGAATCCCAAAGGGGTGTGTGTGTGTGTATATATATATTATTAAAAAGAATATATAAATTTCTCAAAATTCTCCTACACCACTTAGCAAAACTTCAATTCTTTCAAGTGTCCTTGTTTAATTCTCTCATGAGAATCTGAAAATAATTTCAGTGTTTGCTTGCTTAATTTTTTTTTTTGAGAAAACACGAATACACAATAACATGTGCAAAATCAGTATACATGCAAGAGAGTGATCATTTTTAGATTTGCAGTACAAACACATAATTAAGTAATAACATAAGAAAAATAAGAATTGCAATAAACAAACTCTATTAGAACTGAGCAAGAACAAAGTGAAAAAAAAGAAAAAAAAAAAAAAAAAAATCAGTTGTAATTAGGAGCAAACAGTAGAGAATAACAACTACTCAAACTTATTCATAACGGAAAGAATTTACAGTTGAGATGGATGATCAGGCTTGAAGAATCAGTTGGGGTCTCTTGAAAACACAAATACATCGAATTCCTGGAGTCATGATCAAAGCTGCTCCTTCCTGCAAATTTTTCAAATTTTCCAAGAGAAAGAAAATGGAAAATGAAGCTAAGAGAAGTAACCAAAGAAAATAAAATACTTTAGAGCAATTGAAAAATATGTAATACGCCACCAGTGAGAGATAATAGTGCATCATCACTTCCCAGAGAGAGTTTTTCTTATTTTGCTTTGTATTATCTAAATTAAATATGGTGTTTCATCAATATATTTATATATATATATATATATATATATATATATGTGTGTGTGTGTGTGTGTGTGTGTGTCATCTCATATATATTTCAAGCATGAGATGTGGAAGTATTAACAGTTTCTGAGGCAACAACAAAAACGTGGAGCATTCTGTTACTAAGGCTTCAAGATGAGTGTCAAGCTAAGGAGTGATTTATGCTCAGATTGTTAATTCAATATGTAGGTGTAATGGAAACATCAATTAATAAATTTTTTTATAGGTAAGTACACGCACTCAACAGTCAACACCTAGACAGGAACCCACTATTTTCCAACTATACTTTCCAGATGAGAGGAGGAGAAAATAGCATTTGAGCTTAAGACTTGGCATTAAATTCATCTAAATATATATTTTGTTTTTCTCTTCGGGGTAATATTTGTTACGACATATCAATATATCGTCATCGAAGCTGCTTAATGTTGTATCAATAAAAAAAATTCAACTTTTATGGAATTTTAAGTCTGTTTAGTTTGTAATTATAGAAATAATTTTTTATTCTCAGAAAACTGAAAATTGAAAATTATACAAAAAAAAAAAAACTCTTGGCTCATTTTTTTGAAAACTATTTTATAAAAACTCAGTTATAAAAGGGTCTGTTTTTAGAGAACTGTCTTTTATTGTTATTTAAACATTGTTCTCTGTTTTCTGAATTTCTGACTATTGTTTTTAGAGTTACAAACCAAGAATTCAAAATTTTAGGAATATACGATAGAATTAAGGAAACACAACTCTGAAGAGACATGAGATTTAGCTGAATTGGTATAATAATATGTTGACATAAATGACCAAAATCAGCAACCAAAGCCTCATCACCTGCCGTAGACGAGGAATAATATGTCGACGTGCACCATTTAAATGGTGCACAAGTGGACCTGTTTCTCTCACCACCTGAGAGTTCAGTTGCTTTCATTTTAGTGGTTCAAGTGTATTCATTAAAGCTTGAGAACATATTTATATATGTATTGATTTTGCACCCCTAACTAAGTGCAGTTGAGATATCTATTCTTAATTATGTTGTATATGACAAAATTCAATTAGCCCCAACTAAGTGAAGCTGAGATAGCCAATCTTATATGATAAACTTACGAAACTATATGTTTGTTTTTTTTTTCTTTTGAAAGTTCAAGCAAACACGCAATTTACTAAAATATTATCCCCAATAGGACACGAATACTTAACCTTTCTTAAAAAAAGACGAGGTCATACCATCTTAACCAATGCCCACTACTGCCATAAAGAAAAGAAAAGACATACTAGCACAGTAGCACTTTGTATGTTTCAACATTGCTAAATCGATAAAAGAAAAGAAAAAATTATATGTTTTGCCTTGATATTATCATGACAGTTAGTCATAGTTATTCTGTGAATTTCTCGGAGCATTTGGGGTGCGGTCAAAAATAGAGAATATTTGTATAAAGTACAGAGAATGAGAGTCGGTGTGAGTAAAAAGTGGAGTAGCAAAACACACAAACATAATTAATAGATGAACCATCTGCCCTAGCTGGAAGAAAGTAACAGAACAAGTATTGGCTCATCTCATGCACACATTAGACATTACCAAATATAAAAGCTATAAAAATGTCTACTATGAAATGAAATAATACTCTCCTATCATAAAGAACAACATGATTCAAGGAGTAGTGGTTGAGTGTGGTGGGTAGAGGAAATTAAGGAATATGCAAGTCCTTAGGCAGGGTTGGAAAGGTTAGGATTGTGGGTTTCGGCAATTCAGGAAGATGGGGTAAAGCTGGGATTTCAGGCAGTTTTGGGACTTCTGGCTTTGGCAGAGTCGGCAACTCAGGCTTTGGCAATTCAGGCTTAGGAAGCTCAGGCAATGGTGGCAGCTCAGGCTTTGGTATCATTGGAACATGAGGAAGTACTGGTGGCAATTCAGGCTTAGGAAGCTCAGGCAAGGTTATCTCCATAAGGTGTCGCGCCTCACCCTGTATTGTGTTGCCATTCATCGATAACAAAGTGACAAACGACAGCAGAAAGAGAAAGGATATCTGCTGGTGAAGAGCCATTGTTGGAGCAGATCAGATGACAAGTTCCTCGAGATTCAAGCTAAGGGTTTCAAGCTTGATTGAGCATGCATAGGTTTCCATATGTAAGGGTTTAAATAGATGATGAGGAGGTCTGGTTGGTGGGAAGGGTGGTGTATTGTTAGTTCAACTTCTCACCCATATCACTTCTACAATAATCTTAAGAATGAGTTATGTTACTTCAAAATATATATTTTCTATAATGTTATCTTCATCATACTATCTTTGCTGTCTTATTTACATTGTGGGACTATATTTGGAGATGTTAACTGGTAATCTTGACTTTTAACCCTTCAGCAATCAAACATTAAAACTGGTTGGCTGTTCCTATAATTGGGTGGGATAGCTGGAAGTAGAAGTGCCCACAATTTGTCTAATTGAAAATTTGGATCATTGAGCCATAGCTCATTTTCTTTTATGCAAATGGTGTCACCAGTGACCTCAGGCAAGAGCTAGGTACAAGAAGTTCAAGCATACCAAAAATTATGGTGAACATTGTGTATGTTTGAAAGTAGATTTACTTTTTGGGAAAATTAGATTTTAGTGACCAAAAAATTAAGAAAAGATGAATACTCACCAAATCTAAACTTAAATTCTTGTTAGTAATCATTTGATTATTTATTATGTAAATATCCTTATAATAATTTTAATTTTAATTATTATTATTATTATTATTATTATTATTATTTTTTTTTTTTTTTTTTTGTAATTGGATAAACATACCCTTTCCTTCTTTTGTTCATTTGGTCTTCAAACTCGAATTGTTCCTTCTAGGCATGATTCAGCGGACATACTCCAAAACTGAAAATTTCTCCATACAATGCAAATGCAAATGCAAACTCAAATTCAAGTTTAATGGCTTTGTGAAAATGTAACGACCAAAAAAAAAAAAAATAGTAATAAAAATAAAAAATAAAAATAAAAATAAAAATTTCGTCATGACCTCTACAAAAAAAGCCCTACTACGACCTACTGAAATACATATAAAATGTAATGGTCTCACTTGGCCTCAAAATTAATCTATCCTGTCCCAACGCACAATGCAATAATATACATCCCAAAATCAACACATACTTGCAAAATGTCTTGTTCCTCCATCTCCTTCAAATAAGAAATCACTTTAACTACATTAAGTTACAGTCCATGAAATATATTTATTTACACAAATTCTACCATTGCAACACTATACAAGTTACACTTAATTTTTTTTAAAAATGTACATGATCATGTTTCTATACAAAAGACAACAAAATAAGAGTTCTAGTCCAGTCTTAATTTGCGATGGATTGTCGCTTGCCCCTTCTTTCCCCAAACCTGAAAAATATTAAAATAATGGGGTGAGCATAAACTCAATATAAGGTGTCTAAGACACATCTCTTACGACCCCGTGAATCCACGCAAAGAATAGGCAAAAAGTAGACGGGATCATGTCATAGGGAATGCGCATCATCAACCACAACTACAAGCTTATAAATAATTGTCATTGTAGCATAAATACACCAAATATGCAAATGAAGTGCAATGTCATGCCAATGTCGCTCCCCATTTTCCAAAACAATTCCTTTTTCACCGTTCCAACCGTTAATGCAATCCGACCCATAGCACCTCTGTGGCGTCACGAGGGAAGGGTTGACTAGCTTTCCCCGACCACATGGCACCTCCATGGCATCGTCTGGGCCTACGTAGCTCAACCACACTAGAGTCTCTCTCTATTTCCCTCTATATCACATTAACACCACAGACCACTAGGCGCCCCTAGGTGTCCGGTTTTCAAAAACACTTTCCAAAAACGTTTTCTCAAAATAATTTTATTGCCTTTTTAAAACAATTTTTTCTCCATTCCATGCCCAATGAAAATGCATAAATGCACCATGCCTCTTAAACATCATAATTCTTTATACATTTGAATTCTTAATCATAAACACAATTAGAAGAAAAATTATATAATACACAAATCATGCTTCTTACTATATCTCCGACAACTCAAATACATAAGGCATGAAATATAATCATTTAAGGCATTTTTCTCATAAAATGGAAACTAACACATAATCATATATCACAGATACAACAAATAAATTATTTTTGCAAAGATCGACATGAATTAAGCATACTATACAGCAATTCATTAAGAATAATTCACAATAATTTAAGAAAAATGTGAATGTAACGACCCTAAACTGAAACCATATACACAAAAATTTCGGCATGACTTCCCCTAAAAATGGTCCTTCAACAACCTGTCCCAACACACAAAACAAATAATATACTCCAGCATCCCATTCATCCGTTCATTATATCTCAAGATAGTTCCTCTCATGGTGGAACATCCACACACTAATTAATCCAAATTATCATGATTACAGTCCCAAAATACATGGTTAAGATCTAAGGTCCATGTCTTGCAACGTTACATAATACAATTGCGTGGAAATATATACCATGATTCCATTAGTTTCATTTACATCAAACAAAAGATAAGTTCGTGTCCATTTATCAAAGGAAATTTACTTAGTCCCAATTTACATTATTTGAAATTCGTCGTCATGATCCAAAGTACATTTCCTTAGTTAACAAGATAGGTACACTTTGCTAGAACTCAAAGTTTTACAAAAATAGAGAGTATACAAAAGTGTAGTCTAGTACAAAAGTAACAAAATGTTCCTCTAGCAACATTCATGGTTGAGGTGGGTTGTCGTCCACCGGTTCTTTTCCAAGACCTGAAAAGAAGATATATATGATAAGGTGAGCGTAAAGCTCAGTAGGTGACACTTAAGACACAATTCTTGTGTCCTAGTGAATTCAAACAAAGTATAGGCCAATAGGAAATGGGGGTCATGCAACGTAGGGAATCAATACAACATACTGTCTACTCCAAACAAAATCAATGCAATGCAATGAAGTGCAATACATGCTAATGCCACTCCCCATTTTCTTTCTCAAAACCATCACTTTCCAAATGTTAATGTAACCCCCTTTGGTAACTCCGCCGCGACGAGAGAAGGATTGGCTACCGTCCCTAGGCCTTTGGTGACTCCGCAGCGCCGTCGAGGGGCCCGAATAGCTCAACCACGCTAGGGTACTCTCCCTAGTTCCCTCTAAGCTACATTAACCTCCGGCCCGTTGGTAACTCCGCAGCGACCGGATTTATCAAAACCATTTCACAAAAACTATCATCTCCCAAATCCCCCATTTTCATTTCAAGACCAATTCTTCCCTTTTCATGCATCCCAATGACATGTGCATGAATGTATAAATGATTAAAATATTATGATAAAGGGAAAATTTGGCACCATCTAAATAAACATGCTCTCATACATCATGTCTAGCATTTTAACACAAAGTAGACATAAAAATTCAACATTTTAACATTTAGAAACTTTCCAATACATCAAAACTACACATTTAGGCATTTATCATGTTCAACATCCTCAATTAAATCATCAACACATTTAACACAACAAGGTCATCATCTAAACATGTTATTCACATAATACAAGTTATAATCAAAGTAATGAAATTCTCTAGACATAATTTATACATTATGGAAGCAAGTATTTTCTCAAATTAAGCATATTATCACACAATAGGGTCATAATTCACAATAGAACAAGAAAGGAGTGGATTCAGATGCCCCTACCTCAAAATTGCACCAAAACCCTAGAAAATGGGTCTCAAATTCGAACTACAAGGAGAACTCAAAGCTGGAAATTGTTGGAACTAGTACGTAGAGCTTGTCGCACTCGTCGTTTTGCCTCAAACGGCACCTTATTCCGACAAACAATGAGTGAGATACCTTGATTCAAAGGTTGGTCTCTAAAAGAAATGGAAAATGAAGAAAATTAGAGAGCAGAGAGAGTTCAGCGGGGAGAGAGAAAGAAAATGAGAGAGAAAAAAAAAAATAAAAAAAAAAAAAGGTCTAGGCCATTATTTTGAGTTAGTGGTGGGCTCCACTTGAAATTCTTTTCTTTTCACTTTATCTTTATTCCATTGTCTACACCACACACATAAAATTACACCATAATTTTAATGTTACACTCCCCTGAAAATTAAGATGCACATACTACACTTAGACCCAACCACAATCCCGTCAATAAGTGAAAAGACGAAAATACCCTTGTGGTAACAAAATTTCAAAAAAATTCAAACATCCTGAAATTTGGAAACTTCACAGTGAATTAGAAACCCCTATCTCTTAATTGAAGAAAAGTCCCAAAATATGCTCAAAATTTCAAAATTCAATGATGGCCAAACTAGACTTTGTTCTGATCAAAACGTAAATCTCGATGCGCTCGTCGATTTGCCTTCAGTGGGAAAGTCAAATGAAAAGAAATAAAGCATTAAAATATCAAAGCCTCAAGTCCAGCCCCTGTGCTGACTCTCAGCTGTCTGCTCTGTCTGTCCTCAAAGTTTTCTTTTCTTCTCTGTATCTCTAATTCTCTTTCTCTGTCCTCGATGTTTCACTGTATCATTGTACCTCAATTACTACACCGAGAGAACAACTCTCACAACACATTTATCTTTACGTATCGGCTTACACAATACAAAACTATGTGCAAGTATCAAAGTCAAAAAGGTAATGTGCCAAAAGGTTGTGGGCCTTGCCACTATCCATCAAAATATCAAGTTATCAACTTTTCATCTTTGTGTTCGAGCCCTCTGTTTAGCCTTCTAGTTTCGTCAATTAATTTGGTGTTGTAGCTATAAAGTCGGCTGCTATATCTCCAATTTGGTGGGATGGGTCCGAAGGGCCCTGTCTCAAAAAATTCTCGATTATCAAAAAAAAAAACCAAAAACAAATAAACAAACAAACTTTTCGTCTCTCACCTTCATTCCTCTAAATTGGGTGGCAGTTTTTTTTTTGTTTTTTTATTTTATTTTTTTTTTTAGACCAACATTTTCCTTCTTATCTCCTTGTCATCACCTAACAGTAGATATATATATATATATAAAAGTAACCAAACTAAATCAAGTCATGGGACCCGCCAAAAATCAATTTTCCATTCTTTTCTTCTAATTTCGTCTCGCAGTGCAATTCCTTTGCATCACATTTGCACAATATATATATATATATATATATATATATAAAATATAATATAATATCAATATATATATATATAATATATACAATTACATAATAACCAAATCAAATAAACTGTTCCCGATAAGCCTCCAACCATAATTAAATATTTAATTATAACAACTAAAACTAATGAAATTAATTAAAATCTTAAAATCCGGAGTATCACATAAAATTAATGCCAAACATGGATTAATTGGCTACAAATTTTGGTGTAATGCCAAATCAAAACAAGAAACAAGCTTTGCATAAATTGTTTTGCTCTGTTATTGATAAAGGATGATTTATGGCCTTTTGGCCTCGCCGGTGGAACCTACAAATTCACCAAAATCTCCAAATTTTCATTACCTTCAATTAATGTGTGCATGCATTAAATCCTCTGGAACACGAAGTCTGGATGCATGATTTTTTTTTTTTTGGTAAATAAAGTCCAAATGCGTGTTCTATATGAAAGTAATAATTTAACTTATAACAGATGCCTCGATAGTCCAGTGGTTAGTGTCTCTGGTGAATTTTGAAAGTGCCAGGCTTCGACAATTTAACTTATAAGACAGCATAAACTTGTGATTGGCATATTAAAATTTAAATTTCAAAAGTCAGAAATGTTGTTCTGGACAGTTTGTTAAAAATTGTTGGACTGGACAGTTTGTTTTAACTTGGGATTGTTTATGATTTTTAATCAGCCCTCAACTTTGGTGAAACTTGTATAACAAGGTTCAGGGTGTAACAACATATGTATATTCTACTTTTATGATGGTTTAAGCTTCTGAGGCAATTGATAGACAAATATGGTATAGGATCTCATGTTCTGAGAGGTCTTGGGTTAATCTGCATATAATTTCTCCTTTACTATGCAAATTTGCACCTTTTTGTCCACGAGGAAGACAGAATCACATGTGATGAAGGGTTTGAGAGCTTGATATACATCCGGGGACCAATCTTTTTATCAGTCTTTTCATCTATACTATGGAAAATTAGCAAGTATGCTAATGTTAGATGTACTTGATATATGACAGTGAAAGTTTGTCTTTTAAATTTTCTTTTTTTTTTTTTTTTTTTTTTTTTTTGGCAGTGAAATTTATATGTGATGGAGCAGGAATATGTTATGATACAAGCTTGGATTCAATGCCCTTTTGTGAAGGAAAGATAAATAACAGATTCAGTTGTAAGAGCTTGAAACCTAGAGTAGTTTCTACTCACTATTTAATTTTGAGACTTACACAGTTACACAGGCTTATGGCATTAGCTACCTTATGGTCGTTTTACATTTCATACGTATAGAAGCAGAGTATATAGTGATCGGCTCGTGTACAAGAACAGTACAATACAATGACCTTTTATTACTCTGAATGCACATTCTAATGTCATTGCAATTTTCTTTTTATTCCTAGTATCTTATTTTATCTGTTCTTCAAATTTCTCTCCCTTGCACTCTGCAAGTGTTTTTCTTGTTTGATTATAATTTGAATATAGGAGTCGCGAGTTATTCATATTCCTTATTCTTTTCTCTGACTTCATACTGATTTTGCCTTTTCCCATGTAACGAGAACTAATACAGATCATGTTTTATCTATGACTCTCTATCTTTTCTCATCATCCTGCAATCAGAAGTGTTTATGTAAATATATATATATATATATATATATATATATATATAATTCTTTGATTTCTAAGAACCATTTGGAATAGCAATAGCAACTGAAATAGAAAGCAACATTTAAACAAGAAAACAAAAATGAACTCCATATACATAGATTATAATACAAACATAAAAGGAAAGTACAAGCAACACACAAATATAATAAGTAGATGAACCATGTACCCTAGCTGGAAGAAACTAAGAGAACAAGTATTTGCTCATCTCATACATACTATGAAATGGAATAACAATCTCGTATCATATATGAAAAGCAACACGATTCAAGGAGTAGTGGTTGAGTGAGGTGGGGAGATGAAATAAAGGGAAGTGCAAGTCCTTGGGCAGGGTTGGAATGGTTGGGATTGTGGACATAGGAAGGTCAGGAAGATGGGGTAAAGCCGGGATTTCAGGAAGTTTTGGGACTTCTGGCTTTGGTGGAGTCGGCAACACAGGCTCTGGCAAAGTCGGGACATGAGGCAATGGTGGTAGCTCAGGCTTTGGCAATTCAGGCTTCGGAAGCTCAGGCAATATTGGTGGCAGCTTAGGTTTTGGTAGCGTTGGAACAAGAGGAATCGATGGCAATTCAGGCTTAGGAAGCTCTGGCAAGGTTACCTCCAAAAGGTGTCGCGCCTCACCCTGCATTGTGTTGCCATTCATCGAGAACAAAGTGACAAATGACAGCATGAAGAGAAAGGATAGATGTTGAAGAGCCATTGTTGGAGCAGATGAGAAGTGCCTCAAGATTCAAGCAAAGGGTTTTAAGCTTGATTGAGCATTCATAGGTTTCCATATCTAAGGGTTTAAATAGATGATGAGAAGGTTTGGTTGGTGGGAAGGGTTACGTGTTGTTAGTTCAAACTTCCCATCCATATCACATCCACAATTATCAATAATTTATATACTGTTATCTTCTGAATAATATCTTTGTTATCTGTTTTGTCTTGTTGGATTAGTTGGAGGTGTTAGCCGGCAATCTTGACTTAAATTCTTCAGCAATTTACAATCAAACTGGTTATTCAGTCCTACAACAATTTGTTCTGTAGTAATTTTTTTTTTTTTTCTCCTCCTTCTAAAATTACTTGAACATCAGAATGTTATTGGCAAAGTGTACCAGTCTTAGAATCATTGATGGTAAAACAAGTATTTCCATCAAAATTCCTTTTAAAGAAAATAAAAGCTGTATTTTTTGAAACAAATATAAAACATAGTAGGATTTCCAAAAAGTTAAAAGGAAAATCATAATTTTTTGTAACAACTCATGCAAGTTAATTCCATACTTCACTAAGCATAAAATTTGTGGGGAAAACAAATAATATGGAACTCATGCAAGTTAATTCCATACTTCACTATTGTTTTTTTTTTTTTTTTTTTACAAAAGTTCACACACACATTCATAATATTATCTCTAACAAGGCTAAAACTCATATTGCCCCTAACAGGACTAAAACGATTTAGGAGAGATCTTGCCATCTCGACTAATAAGAGAAAGTTTGCTAATGCATTGTTGATTGATTATTGTAAAGGAGGTCTCATATATTGATCAGCACTACTTGACTCTCTAATCTCTATGTAACTAATGTGGTCCATCTGGCATCCACAAAACAGTAAATTAAGCAGGATTGTGTTCAATGACACAAATTTTGGATCCAATATAGAGAAACAGAAAAGCTACTAGACGGTAATTTGCTTTTAAAACATTTTATATACCTGGAACATTGAAAGACATTTTATTTAAAATAAAACAAACTATTTGCATACCTGGAACATTGAAAGGCATTTTATTTAAAATAAAACTAACTATATGCAAAAAATGCAAGCCCAACATTCACTTTTTAGGAGGTGCCCAAGATATACTAAGTTACATGCCTTGGCGGTGGGAAAGCGGTGACAACGATCCACTCCACCACATGGTATATATGATATTGTCTTCTTTAGGTCCGAGCCCGCACTCGGATTTTACTCCAAAAGACCTCATACCAATTGGATATAACACCACCACATATAAGCACTTCACCTCTCTCTTACCCAGGCAACGTAGGATTGTGCAACTGTAACTCACTCAGTGTGATAGCCTGCCGGTATCTCGCACCTGCCCACAAGGTCGCCACACAGGCTTAGGAAGCTCAAGCAAGGTCATCTATAAAAGATGGTTTGCCTTTACCTCGATTGTGTTACTTGTTGGGAAACGTGCAAGTTTTTAAAACTTTTGAGGGATTTGCAATCATGAATCTTGATTCATCACATAGAGATAAGTTTTATGCAAAAACAAATAAAAGATGATGTATGATTCAATAAAATAGAGTGAATACTTACATCAAAGGTCTGAGGAAACCTTTTAATCTTTCTTCTAAAGTGAATGTTCTCACTTATTGTAAATCCCTTTAGTAAGATCTTTTCTCCTTCTTCTTGATTGTTATCTTCTCTTTAAGAATCACCAATATGCCTTGATGAATGACCTCAGAATCTAGGTTTGTGGTAGCCTCCTTTTAGAAAAGAAAACAAACCCTAAAATTTAAAGAGAGAAAGTGTATTCCTTTTTCTTGTTCTAAAAGTCACACCTAAAATATACATGAACTTATGTATATATAGGCAAAATAAAAATAAGAATAAGGAAACAATAAATCATTCTCCATCTTAATTTAATTTTCTCAATTTTAACAGGACTCCAATATCAACTTGGGCTATTGGTGAGAATCCTTTTGGGCTTACTATTTTCTTGGCTCCTATAATTTAATAATTGGTCCGGTCCATTAAACCATGGACCCAATTCAATTAATTCATAAATTAATTTCTACTCCACTAAAAGAAATTAATTGCACTCCAATTAGATAGTAAATAACCTCTAAGTCAATGTTACACTTTGACCCCTTTATGCTTAATTATTTATCGGATAATTAAAGCCATTAATCCGACAACATAATTAATATAATTATTTTGTTACCTTTGATTATTTCCGGCTCGATCACAATAAAATATTTATTTGACAAAAAATAATAATTTACTAAATAAATATATATAGAAAACATTTGTCTAAAACATACGAAGGCCTTCGAATTTAATTTGTGATCAACCATAATCAAAACAAAATAAATACAAATAGCACTGATGCAAATATTGAGAATATAGACCTCTAACTATTAATTACATAACTACCCAAAGTGTCGATCTAAGGATCCCGAGGTATCCGCCGAACAAATCAAAGTAATTATAAATTAATAAAAGAGTCTATACTTCTCTCATGCTTGAGAGTCAAAAGCCATGACTGTGATAGAGAGCAATTGCATACGACAGCCCTCGCAATATATCTCAATCTATCGTGGACTCGGTTCAAGTCTTAACTAATTAAATGTCCATTCATAATTACCGACTTTAAATCATTTATGATTACTAATTTATAACATAGTATTAATTGCCATTACATACATATATAAATATATTTTGTAATCAAGTACACACAATCAATTCCATAATGAATCGAAAAATAATACATTCCATTCACCAATTGTATAATGCTTTAATAATAATATCCAGATAAGAAATCATGACTTTTACAATCCAAAATTAGAATTTGCTATGCTAGGGCACACATATCCTAATAGCTCCCACTTACACTTATAGCCAATTCGAATCACATCTAACTCCCATGTTCTCCATATGACGATCAAACATCTTGATTGGTAAAGCCTTTGTGAATGGATCAACAAGGTTATGTTCCGATGCAATCTTGGCCACAAGTATACCTCCTCGCTTTACTATATCACGAACCACATGATGTTTCCTCTGAATGTGTCTTGTTCCTTTATGAAATTTTGGGTCCTTGGTTTAGGCTATAGCTGCACTATTGTCGCAATGAAGCGTCATAGGCCGATCTATATGCTCCACAACCTCCAATTCAATTAGAAAGTTTCTCAACCAAACAGCTTCTTTTGCTGCCTCAGAGGCTGCAATGTATTCTGCTTCCATGGTTGAGTCAGCAGTACAACCCTGCTTGACACTCTTCCAACTAATTGCCCCTCCATTGAACTTCAACACATATCCAGATGTAGATCTCCTGGCATCTGGATCTGATTGAAAATCAGAATCCGTATATCCGACTGGAACCAGATCATTACCTCCATAAATGAGCATTAGATTCTTAGTTCTTCTAAGGTATTTTAAGATATTCTTTACAGCTGACCAATGATCAAGTCCAGGATTGGACTGATATCTACTGATAATCCCTACAGAGTAGCAGATGTCTAGTCTAGTACAGACCATGGCATACATGAGACTACCAACTGCCGAAGCATATGGTACTCGCCTCATTTGCTTAATTTCCTTATCAGTCTTGGGAGACTAGTCATTAGAAAGAGCCAACCCATGTCTAAATGGCAAAAACCCTTTCTTAGAGTTTTCCATTCCAAACCTGATCAGAACTTTGTCAATGTAAGACTCTTGAGACAAACCTATTTTCTTTTTAACTCGATCCGCATAAGCTTGATCCCAAGAATATAGCTTGCTTCTCCAAGATCTTTCATCTCAAATTTATTAAACATCCACCTTTTAACTGATGACAATGCTTCTACATCATTACCAACGAGTAAAATGTCATCAACATATAAAACGAGAATCATGATGACATTACCCTGTTTCTTCTTGTAAACGCAAGGTTCAAACACGTTTTGTTCAAAGCCAAATAATTTGACTGCCTGATCAAAACAAATGTTCCATGTGCGTGAAGCTTGCTTAAGTCCATAAATAGACCTATTCAACTCACATACACAGTCCTCACGACCTTTAACCACGAAACCGTCTGGTTGCCTCATGTAGATGTCTTGTTCAAGATGGCCATTTAAAAATGCCGTCTTAACATCCATCTGCCATATCTCATAGTCATAATAAGCACTAATGGCCAAAAGAATGCGAATAGATTTAAGCATTGCAACTGGTAAGAATGTATCCTCATAATCAATACCTTCACGTTGAGTGAAGCCTTTGGCAACTAGTCTAGCTTTGAATGTCTCAACATTCCCATCCATTCCTCTCTTTCGTTTGTAGATCCACTTACAACCAATGCGCTGAACCCCACTAGGAAGTTCTACAATATCCCAGACTTTGTTAGAATACATAGATTCCAACTCTGATTTCATGGCATATTTCCAACGATTCGCATCTATATCGGTCAACCCTTCCGCATAGCTTACTAGGTCCGACTCATGCTTATCGGGACGGCCTCATAGACCTCACCCAAAAGTGTGAGTTTTTCGGGTTGGATGATAGTCCTCCCACTACGCCGAAGGACCGGTGCAGGAATCGATGTACTAGATGATGGTAATTCAACAGGGACTTCTTGTGTCTCATCATTCTCAGTATTTATATTAGGTGTGTCCATAGGGGGTATATCTGATGTGCCAACCATCTCCTCTAACACTATCTGGCTACTAGGTCTGTGGTTCATAATATAATCCTCCTCCAGGTAAATAGCATGAGTGCTGACAATAACCTTATTGTCCCTGGGATCATAAAATAATCCACCTCTAGTGCCCTTAGGATAGCCAACAAACAAGCATGCATCTGATCTTGCTTCCAACTTGTCTGCATGTTTCTTACGCACGTGTGCTGGACACCCCCATATATTCATATGATTTAAACTAGGTTTATGTCCAAACCACAACTCATATGGCGTTCCTGAAACAGACTTGGATGGAACACAGTTCAAAATATACATCGTTGAT